CAAATTAGTAAATAACTTCAATGAATATATAGCAATTTTCTTAAAATAAAAAATATATAAAAATAAATATATATATATATATATATATATATAATATATATATATATATATATATATATATATATAATATATATATATATATATATATATATATATATATTATATATATATATATATTATATAATATATATATTATATATATATATATATACATATATATATATATATATATATAATATATACATATATAATATATACACATATACATATAATGTATACATATATATATATATATTATATATATAATATATATAAATATATATATATATATATATTAAACTTGGTAATCTTACAGAATAGTGCTGCCTAGTGGATCAAGATGATTTTGGTATAAATGGATTCCTCTCACACTTCTACTATCTAAATATATAAAAATTATTGCATGGAAACCTCCTAAACCCCATTCTTGGCAGGGGAGGGCAAGAGAGGTACCAGGGAAATTGCCTAATGTCTACTGTTAATTTATTGTCTGTGACATCCCGTTGGGAGCTGCCGTTCCCCAAACCCCACCCAAGAAAATAAAGAATCCTCCACCTATTCATGGCAGGAGAGAGCATCAGATAAACTCATCTACATATCAGTCATACACTCTCTCCTGCTGTGAATATGTGGAGGATTCTTTGTGTTCTATTATGGGGGTTGAGGAGGCAGTAGATCCTATGGGGGGTTGCAGGAGGCACAGCCCCCTGCATTAGACAATTCTGTGTATATCACTCATATTCCACTTTTAATAACAATGTTCTGAAGTGACAATAATTCAGTGAATGTTATTTATGTTTATTTTTAAATATGGATGGAGTTTCTATTTTGATGAGGTAGTTATGTTGAAATTTTAATATCGGTGAGAAAGAAATTTGGGTGCAAGCAAAAATTATCATGGCTGTGACTTCAGTTAAGTATCACTGTAAGCATTTGTGTGTTATAAAACTTGATCATATTTTACCTCGCAATAACCCTGATACCTTTCATGCCCTCCCCTGCTGTGGGGGCCAAGATTGTCACTAATGGAAGTGGTTTCCGCACAATAATTTATAAATATTTGAGTACTAGAGAGTGAGAGGATTCCATCAGTACTCAAAGTGTCGCAACCTGTTAGGTGGAATTATTCTGTAAAATTACCCGAAACCTTAATGTACAATCCCCTCCTCTCATCACTCATCCAGTTTTAACTCATGTGCTTATAGCAAATGCCAAAACAACGAAGGGACAAGCATTTGGATTATGAATCTAAAAACTGGCAGTCAATGCTCTGACAACATTAAATTCTGAAATTGGGAATGGCAGCTGTGCCACTCATGGAACAATTCACTGTTCTTATCAATTTGAGACTGTTTATAAACTTCCATTCCAATTTTCGGTAATTTTCTATATTACGTCCGCATGACGATATCGACGATTTTTGTATCGTTGGATTCCTCTCACTCTATACAATGCAAATAGATAGGTTTTATTGCGCGCGCTAACCCCCCGTTAGCGACAAACTTGGTCCGGATTGCGGGGGCGACGATGTCGGAGCGCCGGACGTAATATAGAAAATTTTTATTACAAAATTACAGTAACAAAACCCAGTGAAAATAACCATAGTTACTCACATGACTTTCCATTGCAGGGGCTGCGCCCCCTGCGACCCCCCTGGGGGGGCTGCCGCCGCCCCAACCCCGCCGAGGAAACAAACCTCCACCGACTATTCACGGCAGGATAGAGCAGGATAACCTACAATAACTAGATTTTTAAGGTACTAACTGATTTATTAATGCCGCTAATTACTAGGAGGTGCTCCTTTGCCGCAAAAATGTGAAGGAGCAGGGTGCGTCCGGCAGGAGGTCCTAGCCGGAGGATACATCGACGCTGGCAAGCACACAGGAATGAATGCAACCTCACATTCAGGTGCTGGCTGCCCGCACCTGCCGCAATCTTTCTCACGACGAAGGAGGCCGTGCAGAAGCACATATCTAGCATTTTTCTTGGCTAATGGGCAATCTCGCGCAGAATTTCCGTCTCGGAGTACGAGCACCCTCCACACTCGGCCATCGCGGCGACTATGGACTTCCTTCTGAACGCGACGTTATTTCGGTTAGGAATACGAATGTCGTTATTCCAGAGGAAGGGAAACTCGAACTTTGAGGCATCGGTGTACACATCGAAAAAGGCGCAAAACCCGCCGACGAGGGCGGGCCACCGTGTTTATCCTGATTATACTACAATCGTCTCTAATACAATGCTGATTATAAATAAGTTAATATGCTGATTCAGTGAGAATCTTCTTACGAGGTGTAATACGCCCCCGCTCCGACTATGCGATGATGATTGTGTAATACGCTCTAGCCTGCCGTGAATACCGTGGTGGAGGTTTTGTTTCCGCGCGGGGTTTCCGGGGGGCGCCCCCCCCAGGGGGGGGGTAGGATGGGCGCCAGCCCCCTAACAAATATTTGAATGCTAGAGAGTTGGAAGGTAATCAGCTGCTTAAATTGTCGCAACCTGTTAGGTGGAATTATTCTGTACAATTACCCAATTAATGTACAATCCTTCCTCTCATCACTCATCCAGTTTTAACTCATGTGCTTATAGCAAATGCCAAAACAACGAAGGGACAAGCATTTGGATTATGAATCTAAAAACTGCAGTCAATGCTGACAACACTAAATTCTGAATTGGGAATGGCAGGGTGTGCCAAACAATACTGTCTTATCAATTTGAGACTGTTTACAAACTTCCATTCCAATTTTCCTTCCCTGGAGCAAATTTTATGATCAGTAAATATCAAATATTCAGTTAGGCTTAATTCACCACTCGTAACAGAAAATTTAAGCCATTTATAACCAGTGCCTTTCATACGGTTTTCCAAAATTCGAAATCAAGATGAAGCGGTCACTATAAACTCCTTCTAGTACCTCATATCTACTTTGAAAATACGTAAACAATACCAGAAAAGATTGCACAATATTCAAGTAAACATCACACCCAAAACTAACAATGATATCACCATGAACAAGTCTAATTTCGACGATTTTTTCTCCTCAGCTGATCATCCCGATGTTTGTAAACACTGCCGAGTTTCCGCACAAACAAATGAGCGTCGACTTGCGCATAAATTCTTTGTTCGAGTTTTGTGTTTAGTTTATTAAGTTTTATAGATCATTGATTCCTAGGATGAAAAATCTGAATAATTTTTAATAAAAATCTGCATTTTTCATCACGCAGAGTAATGGTAATGGTAATAATGAGGGAACATCACTGGTTTCATTATTATTATCATCATCGTTGATATTACTAAAATCATTATTATCATTATCATTACTATTATTTTTGTTGTTGTTGTTGTTACTATCATTGTTGTTATTATCATTATCATTATTATTATTATTATTATTATTATCATTATCATCATTACAATTGTTATCATGATTTTCATTATTATCATCATTATTACCATTATTATCATCATCATTATCATTATTATTATCATTATCATCATTACCATTATTATCATTATCATTATCCTCATTCTTGTTATCATTGTTATTATTACTATTATCATTATTGTTATTATTACTATTATCATTATTGTTATTATTACTATTATCATTATTGTTATTATTCTATTATCATTATTGTTTTATTTTTACTATTATCATTATTATCATTATTATTTATTATTATCATTTATTAATTTTATTATTATGAAGTAGTAGTAGTAGTAGTAGTATCATCATCATCATCATTCATTATTATTTAATTATATTATTATTATTATTATTATTATTATTATTATTATTATTATTATTATTATTATTATTATTATTATTATTATTATTATTATTATTATTATCATTATTATTATTATAATTATTATTATTATTATTATATTATTATTGTTATTGTTATTAATTATTATTATTATTATTATCATTATTATTATAATTATTATATTATTATCTTATTATCATTATTAATTTTATTATTATCATATCATCAAATCATTATTATATTGTTTTACTATGTTATTATTATTATTATCATTATTATCAATATTGTTATATATTATCATTATCATCATCATTATTTATTATCATTATCATTGATGATTAATTATAATATATTATTCTCATTATTATCACTATTATTGTTAGCCTCATCATCATCATATCATTCTTCTTATTATTAATTATTGTTGATATTATTATTATTATCATTATTATCATTATCATTATTATTATTATTATTATTATTATTATTATTATTATTATTATTATTATTATTATTATTATTATATTATTATTATTATTATTATTATTATTTATTATTATATTATTATTATTATTATTATTATTATTATTATTATTATCATTATTATTGTTATTATCATTATTATATCATCATTGTTTATTATTATAATTATTGTTTGTTATTATCACTGTCATTTCTATTACTATTTTGATCATTATGACTGTTATCATTATTACCATGATGATGATGGTGACGATGATTATCATTGTTATTTTATTATCATTATTATTATTATTATCATTATTATTATTATTATTATTATTATTATTATTATTATTATTATTATTATTATTATTATTATTATTATTATATTATCATTATTATCATCATCATATTATCATTATTTATTATTTTATTATTAATTATTATTATTTATTATTTATTATATTATTATTATTATTATTATTATTATATTAATATATATATTATATATTATTATTATTATCTATTATTATACATATATTATTATTATTTATATTATCATTATTATGTTATTATTTTCATTATATTATCATTATATATTATTGTTATTATCAAATATTATTATTATTATTATTCATTTATTAATTATTTATTATTATTATTATTATTATTATTATTCATTTATTTATTATCATTATCATTATTGCTATCATTATCATTGTCATTTTGTT